CACGGCTGGCGTGTCACCCCCATGACTGCACGGGCAGCCACCCAAAGAACCCGAGATCTGTTGTCTCTCCAGACAGGTAACACGTGGAGACCAGTGCTAAATCCTGCACTGCTAAGACATGGATTTTCGGCTGAAGAAATGTGTCGATTCTGCATGGAAGAAATGACAGAGGAGGAGACATGGGAATTAGGACAAGCGTGAACACCACACCAGAGAAGGAACAGAAGAGCTGAGCATGAAAGGTGCTCTAGTCTTCCTACACGGGAAAGAGAGACGGTTTCTGCAGAGCGCCACAGAACTCAGCCGGGACCAGCTCAAGAAGGCACAGGTGGGCGGCAGAGGGGACGCCGCACCTCCACAGCCTCCTGCCCAGCCTCCAGCCACGACCCCACCGCCTGAGTCCTCTCTGAACAACCCACCCGCAGGCCCTTGGTTAGTTCGCGAGCTCCGTGACTGGGGTTTATGAGGAATCACACACCCTGCCGTAGTCACAAGGAGCTCAGAACCATGACCTAACACCCCGAGTCCACATGCAGCGCCCCCGCTATGGGGAACCATGACCTACACCCCGAGTCCACACACTGACCCCCACTACGGGGAACCATGACCTAAAAACCCGAGTCCACACGCTGACCCCCGCTATGGGGAACCATGACCTAACACCCCAAGTCCACACGCAGCGTCCCCGCTATGGGGAACCATGACCTAAAAACCCGAGTCCACACGCTGACCCCTGCTATGGGGAACCATGACCTAACACCCCAAGTCCACACGCAGCGTCCCCGCTATGGGGAACCATGACCTAACACCCCAAGTCCACACGCTGCACCCCCACTATGGGGAACCATGACCTAACACCCGAGTCAACACGCTGACCCCCGCTATGGAGAACCATGACCTAACACCCCAAGTCCACACGCTGACCCCCGCTATGGGGAACCATGACCTAACACCCCAAGTCCACACGCAGCACCCCTGCTCTGGGGAACCATGACCTAACACCCTGAGTCCACACACTGACCCCCACTATGGGGAACCATGACCTAACACCCCAAGTCCACACGCAGCACCCCTGCTCTGGGGAACCATGACCTAACACCCTGAGTCCACACACTGACCCCCACTATGGGGAACCATGACCTAACACCCCGAGTCCACATGCTGACCCCCGCTCTGGGGAACCATGACCTAACACCCTGAGTCCACACACTGACCCCCACTATGGGGAACCATGACCTAACACCCCGAGTCCACATGCTGACCCCCGCTATGGGGAACCATGACCTAACACCCTGAGTCCACACACTGACCCCCACTACGGGGAACCATGACCTAACACCCTGAGTCCACATGCTGTGCCCCTCGTCATGGGAAGGACAGGAGGGCTACTGGAGTCCCCTTCGCAGTGCTCACTGGTTATCCCCATCTTGGGTGCAGTAAGGCGGGGGCAGGGCTTGACAGGGCAGTGGAGCCAAAGGAGTCGGGAAGAAATGTCCGGGGACGCTGTGATGCCCTGAGGGAGCCAGGAGCTGCCTCCACCAGGGAGCCCACACAGATCCCTAACAAACAAGCAGCAGCTCTGAGACAGGAAAGGCCAGCACATCAGATGTGAGATGGTTCAGGGCGCTCTGCCAAACCCATCCCAGGAATCCGCTTCCCTTCCTGGCCGCTGCCACCGCACGGCCTCCCTGTGGACGGGGGACGCTGCAGTTACGGCCGCTCCGGGGGCCCTGGGGGTGCAGTGCGAGCTGGCACAGGGCGCGGAGCCCACTGGCCCCGGGGAAACCACAGCCGGTTGTCTCTCTCAGCATGCCACTGCAGGGTAAGTCACCAAGACCCATTTCCACGTAACGATGGTAATTGCATCTGCCACAGAAACCACAGCTGAACGGGGGGGCTGGTTCTTGCATTTCTGTTTTCCCCAGAAATTTACCTCATTCCTACTTACGCTGGAGCTTCAACTCCACAGCTAAGAATTCTTCTGCAAATATGAAACATGTGTTTTACCTCCAGAAGACGATCTCTGGTGGAATTGGGCTGTCCCTGCAGGGAGGAGGACCGGCAGCTGGCTGGTGCAAAGCCCTGCTCTCCCGCGGCGGCTCTCCCCAGCCCCACCACTCAGGGGTCACCACTTCCCCGCCCTGCGGCCAGCGTCCTGACTCACGGCATCCGCTGTTCCCAGCACGGACACCACAGGGCTCACTAACCTGCTGATGACGCTTAGGACCGACCCCACAGTCACACACTCTCATGGAGAAGGAGGGTGAGGAGGCTTGCTCCCCACACAGTGGCTCGTGCCTTCATCATGGTGACCTCCAGCACCTTGGCTTCTAGGGCAGAGACTGCTGGTTTGAAACCGAAGGGCCCTCTCCAACTACATGGCCACCACCAGAACTAACAGATAAAATCGCGACATTTCCCATCCAAAAGCCACGTTCCTGCCTTGGCCTTGACACAGCGGTGGGACGCCTTTGTAGGAGGGTGGGACAGGGGTCCCAGATTCCGTCAACTTGAGGCGTGTGGGTTCACATCCACCCTCAGGAGAAAGGGAGCGTTTCCTTTATAGGATAAGGGTTTCGTGTTCTGGGGTCAACACGAGCATCGAAAGCTGCAGTCAGTAACCTGCAGAATTTTCTGGTTGCCGCTAGAAGGCAGCATTCTGTGGGTCATTACTCAAACTGACTAAGTTAGACCAGGGGAAAGAGTGACAAATCATGCATATTTAAAATATCCCATAGCAAGGATGAACGCTTTTTTCCAGAAAGGAAATGGCCAAGCTTAAAGGAGGCTATGCCTATGCGGACACGTCAGTAAGAGGACTTCTTTAAAAACAGGTTTGAAAGACACACGGTCTTCCTGTGTGCCCTGGTGGGGGTGTGCGGTGCAATGGGTGACACGGCCTCTCCAAAGCAGAGCCTGGATCCAAAGACACCTTGAGCTAGGAACCAGGGAAACCGAGTCAGGAAGCTGCAAACCAAAACCTCAACAGAGAAACAATGGAGTGTTTCCTACAAATACACTGTGAAGCCAACGGAAAGCACAGAGGGAAGCCGTATCCTAAGAGGCACTTTGCTCAGCGGCTGGTACAGACCTCAGGCGGGTCGTGAGCTGAACAAACATGCAGCACACGTCCCTGAAGGAGACGGCGTATGTCTGATGAACTGAGGCAAGCACGGCGCAGTGTGGGGCTTTCTAACAGTTTTTACATTCTAAAGACGTGCACAGAGATATCTGTGAATGATGGGACACGATGTCCAGGCATCTGCTTCAAAATTACTTAAAAGGGAAAAAAGAAAAAACACTGTACTGTCCCGCAATAACACAGGAATACAACCTAAAAGTATTTGTCAAATATCGTTAAATTTCTACTTGCCAGACACAAGGTGACAAGCATCCTCAAGAATCCAGTGTCAAGGCCTTGAGAGAGGCCTGGGAGAATGAGCACGTTTGGTGGTACACACACCTGTGGAGTCATGCACATGCACGGACAGACACATGCACGGACAGACACGCACACGCGGACAGACACACGCACACACGGACAGACACATGCACGGACAGACATGCACACACGGAGAGACACATGCACACGTGGACACAGACACACGGACAGACACGCACACGCGGACAGACGTACACACACATGGACAGACACGCACGCACGGACACGCACACGTGGACAGACGCACGGACAGACACGCACACATAGACACAGACACACGCATGGACAGACACACGCACACACAGACACAGACGCATGCGGACAAACACAGACACAGACACACGGACAGACACGCACACGCGGACAGATGTACACACACACGAACAGACACATGCACACGCGGACAGACACGAACATGCAAGGACAGACACGCACACACGGACAAATACGCACACGCACGGACAGACAAGCACACGCACGGACAGACACGCACACACGGACAGACACACACGCAGACATGCACACGCGGACAGACATATGCACACGCATGGACACATGCACACACGGACAGATACACACACGCACACAGACACAGACACACGCACGGACAGACACGCACATGCGGACAGACATGCACATGTGGACAGACACACGCATGGACAGACACACGCACACGCAGACACACACACGGACAGACACACGCACATGCGGACAGACACACACGCATGGGCAGACACACACGCACATGCACGGACAGACACGCACACACGGACACACGCATGCACGGACAAACGCACGCACACACGGACAGACACACGCACGGACAGATGCACACGTGGACAGACACACGCACGGACAAACACATGCATGCACGGAGAGACGCACACGTGGACAGACACACGCATGGACAAACACATGCACGCACGGACAGACGCACACGTGGACAGACACGCACACACGCGGATAGACACGCACACGTACAGACACGCACATGCACGGAGACACGCACACATGGACAGACATGCGGACACGCACACATGGACAGACACGCACACGCACAGACACACACACGCACAGACACACGCACACACGGACAGACACACACAGGCACACATAAAGACAAACACATGCACAGCACACACATGAACACACATATGTACACAAAACGTACTCACAAGACACAACACGTGCACACACTGCACATGCACATCACACACATGTGCATGTGGATGGTCTCACAGCACGTGAGCACAGAAAGCCTACATGCGCCTGCATATCCCGCACACGCACAGCCCAGACATGCACGTGCATATGCACACGTTCAATGGGTGATGCGGCCAGCAGGCTGACTGCGTGTGCATAGGCACACGGGTGTGTGTGCATGCCGTGAAACACAGGTACTTGGACTGGGCACCGCTCCTTTTCTCTGTTCTCCAGCTCCAGAGAGCAGAACAAAGTGGCTGGGCACACAGCGGCCCCCTGTAGACGAGAGGCCAGCATCAAGCAGTGGGGAGCTGTGTGCAGGCAGGGGTGAGGTGGCCCCGTGAGCGCATGTTACCTGTCTCAGTTCCTGGGCGTCCCCCTCGGAAACCAGCGGCTCACTCATCTGCAGCGGAAGCGGCTGGCCCTCCTGGCTTCCCGAGCAGGGCTCGCGGTGCATGGCGTGGTCCATCAGCCCAGACGCTGGAATGGAAAATCAAACAGCAGTGACATCTTCCCGGAGGCGTGAACAACACAAGGACATTCAGAACTTCACGAGGAGTGATGTGTAAGACCATCAGGGCTCTCTGAGCAGACGCAGTGTTTTCGACTCACGCACCGGTCTGTGGCCTCTGCGCCCGCCGGGGTGGTGGGGCTGGTGGGTCTGCCGTCCCGAGCCCTGCTACGCTGAGCTGGGGTGGGGGCTGCCTGAGCTCACTCCGACCCCGGCCCAAGCTGTGTCCTTACCCCACTCCGATCAGAGAGGGCACCACTGACCGTGCTCTGGGTCTGGCTCTGTAACTGCTCTCTCAGGAAAGGCCCTTTATCCATGTGCGGCCATTTTTCTTCTCTGGGGGAGAGGGCTACACGTGGGGCGATTCAAACAGGCCACTTGTGGGACCTGGTGAAACGCACATAAAGCACAGTGCTGGAAACCGCAGCAACATCTCGCCACCCCACAGAGCACTGTGGTTCTCCAGAGCACAGGAAATGGCCAGCTGGTCGGGCCAAGCAAAGCTGGCTCTGTGGCTGCACGGAGGTGGGGGTGAGTCAGAGCGCTGCACGTGGCCGGGCCCTGCTCCGGGGTGTTCCCGGTCACACGGCACCTGCGCCTGGGCAGGCTCCCCGAGGAGCGGAAAGGCAGCCTGGAGATGTGGTGATAGCCGAGGGGGCCTCGCACGCCCCGTGGCGTGCTACCTGTCCTCTGTTTAAAGAGCTGACTCCAACCACAGGGTCCAGAGAAGGGCATTGGCCAGGGTCTGCTGCCTGCGCTTCCCCATAATACAAGGCACCTCAGCTATGCAGCACGGCCCGTTCGTGTACTGGGATGCTGGAAAGTGGACAGCTGTCTGGGTACCAGCACCAGCTCCTCTGGGCACTTCTCTGCTTCCGGGGAGTGGGAGGCACAGAAACCACCCTATGAATGCGCAGTCAGGAAGGGGGAGGGACAAGGAACGCGGTCTGGGCCACAGCTCCCCACTGGGCCTGAAGAGCAGGAGCCCGGCTGGCCAGCCCCAGCACACACAGAAATACCGCCTCTGCCCTCATTTCTCAAAATAATCCGTACAAATCAATATTCCCTGAGGACTGCCTGGCTGAGCAAAGGAAGCATGGCCTCGTCCAGGATAAATGCAGGCTGCAACGAGGATGGGGACGGCATAGGCTTCTCATGGTCCTGGAGCGGAACAGGGCCCAGGCCAGACAGAGGGAGCTCAGGAACCAGTGCGCGAGCCAGAGCCACACAGAGGAGGACACTGGGTCCCAGCCTGCCTCTGCCGGAGGAGGCTGTGTGTGGATGCCCCCATGCTCTGTGCGCCTGTGAGAGGTGCAGGCAGGAGGCCAGAAAAACCCCTTACTGTGCACCATGCACACTGTGCATCATGCACACAGGTGTCTGGTTTTCTAGGTCCTTCTTTAAGAACAATCAAAGCTGACTGCAACCCATCAAAATGATCTCACCACCTGTGCTCTACAGTCTCAAAGCCCCAGCCTACTCCAGCCTCCTAAAGGCTTTTACTCAGCAAGGAACTCTCTGCAGCATGCCTCACGTGCTCTGAAATGTCCCTACCCAAAATGGTACAAGTGACGAGCACTTTTCTCAGACGGCTGCAGCAGAACACCGTCAGAGCTAGCTGGAAGATATGACGGCAGAAATAGCAACGCAAACGCGTTCCACTGGCTATTATTAGTCTCCAGGAAGTCATCAGGGCTAATGCGATGACACACACTGGTCCCAGGCCCAGCAGGAGAGAGCAAAGTCCGCACACAGCCTGGACCCCTCTGCCTTGGTTTCTACGCCCCAGGCCCATGCACTCCTGATCCAGCCACCCTGGCGCCCCGTCTTTGGATCCCTAGTATATGCCATCCGCGGGGTCCCCCATCACCAGCACCCCATCTGCACACATCACATGCACAGATGTCCCCCAGCACACGTCTGACAGCATGTCCTCCACTCCACCACCCCATCAGCAACAACCTTTGCTCATCGGTCTGGGCATCGTTCCTCTTGCACACCTTTGGTATTCATGTGCTTGCTGCCGCACTGCTTCTCTGAGGCAAAGGCCCACATCGGATTCATACCGGTGCCCGGCCTGGGCTCCTTTACCACTGCTGGTTTCCATTCCAAGACCTAGAGCTATCTTCTGGAGGGACACGCTGACCTTTTTTTGAATGTTTAGCAAAATGGGTTTTACTTAACCAGAAAGCCAAAATAGAGAATTTTTCTTCCTGGAACACACTACGTCAGGGGTATTTTTCATGACAAGCTGTGGGGTCAGCAGGATCGTGTGTAGCACAGAGCTTGGCACCCCTGGTGCTCTGTGTTGAGACCTGAGTCACTGACTCAGTTTCTTCAATGCTTTGAAACATCTTCAAAAAAAATTAACTTCAGTATAAAATGGTTTCTGTCTCTAACGTCCTTAATTATCACAGTTAAACAAAATCAGCACAAATTGTTCAAGCTACAAGGGAACTTATGGGTGATTTCACTTTCCAGGAACAACAGCTGGGCTGGTAGGGGCAGCTGTGGACGCCAGTGTCCTTCATGTATCAGACGCAGAGCCTGGCCTCACCAGAAGTTCAGAGCATGGACCATGAGCCCTGACCGGAGAGGAGAAGGGACCCCCCCCATCCCCACCCCAAGCCTGTCTGGTCTTGGGCACATCTTCCTCCTTGTCCCTGAGACCCAAAAGCCTCATTGATGACACAGGGAAGGAAATGCCTACTCCACCCAGGGACAGCCCCAGAAGCTTACACAACTGGGGTGGGAAGCCCTTTGCAAAAAAATCATGAAATGCCCAAGCAAGAAGCCTAACAGAGAGAGGGCAAAGTCAACTAAGCACAGCTAAAGGAACATACTTGGCAAATGTGCCTTGGACCCGAGGGTCCTTGGAAGAGATCAAGTGCGTGAGAGCCACACAGGTCCCAGGGGGTCTGCGGGGGTCAGGGGGTGCCCGTGTCCTAGTGACCACATGGGTGGGGGGGTCTGTGGTCAGTGTGCTGTCCATGTCCTAGTGACCACATGGGTGGGGGGGTCTGTCTGTGGTCAGCGTGGTGTCCGTGTCCTAGTGACCACACGGGTGGGGGGGTCTGTCTGTGGTCAGCGTGGTGTCCGTGTCCTAGTGACCACACGGGTGGGGGGTCTGTCTGTGGTCAGCGTGGTGTCCATGTCCTAGTGACCACATGGGTGGGGGGGGTCTGTCTGTGGTCAGTGTGGTTCCTATTACCTAGTGACCACACAGGTGGGGGTTCTGTCTGTGGTCAGCGTGGTGTCCGTGTCCTAGTGACCACACGGGTGGGGGGGTCTGTCTGTGGTCAGCGTGGTGTCCGTGTCCTAGTGACCACACGGGTGGGGGGTCTGTCTGTGGTCAGCGTGGTGTCCATGTCCTAGTGACCACATGGGTGGGGGGGGTCTGTCTGTGGTCAGTGTGGTTCCTATTACCTAGTGACCACACAGGTGGGGGTTCTGTCTGTGGTCAGCGTGGTGTCCGTGTCCTAGTGACAACACAGGTGGGGGCGGGTCTGTCTGTGGTTGATGTGGTGGTGTCCGTGTCCTAGTGACTACACAGGTGGGGGGGTCTCTCTGTGGTCGGTGTGGTGTCCGTGTCCCAGTGACTACACAGGTGGGAGGGGTCTGTCTGTGGTCAGCGTGGTGTCTGTGTCCCAGTGACCACAGAGGTGGGGGGGGTCTGTCTGTGGTCAGTGTGGTGTTCGTGTCCTGGTGACAACACAGGTGGTGGGGGGGTCTGTCTATGGTCAGCATGGTGTCCGCGTCCTGGGATTGGAACTCCCCCGCCTGAAGCTCAAGTCTTAAATGAACAGTCGCGCACAGGGACGTCAGGGTCCCAGATGTGTACTATTGTCATGCAGATGAGTGTGCTCCTGGATGCATGGGCCTGTTCTGGGTGCTGGAGATGTGGTTATCAAGAGACAAGTTGCGTCCGGTCCGGATGCAGTACATGTCCCAGTGTGAGAGCACGGCAGCCAGTCAGAGGGCAACACCACCCGAGGGCGAGTGTTGTCTCTTAAAGGAGGTGGTCAGAGAAGGCTTCTCTCAAAGGTGGCTGTTGGCAAACAACAAAGACAAAAATAAGTACCCAAATATCATCAATTGCTAAGCATGGGCCATGCTCTGAAGTCTTCTTCCTAAAACCATCACCCCAGGACCATGAGACAACATGAGACAGAGTGCAATCACGAGACAGTGTACAAAACCTCAGCACTCCTCCTACAAGCCGTCGAGACCTTCAGAGTAAGGAGAGCCCAGGGAGACGCCACCCGTCATGTGGGACTCCAGACGGTGTCCTGCAACGGCAAGCACGAGGGGATCTAGACAGAGCTCAGACAGGCTCGTCAGCTGTGACAGTGAGGATGGCAGCCACGGGGGACACTCCTCCCAGCCCTTCCTCAAGTCTGAAACCACGCTAAGATGTAAAGGGTACCCTAAAGATGCTGTGCAAGAAAACAGCCATTTTCCACTGCTCTTCCGCAGGGTGAACGCGGCCCACCTGTGTCATTCCCAGCCCCCGAAGCCCAGGAGACCCCCGGGGCCAGTCGCTGGCCGGGCCACCTACACTGCACAGGACTGCAGAGGTCTCTGGAAAGTTCTTCCCCACACTGACGCAAGGCAAACCCGGTCCTGTGGTGTCACTGCCCCCTGCTGGCCACGCAGGCTACCAACATGGCTTCTGGACGGGGTAAATTTCTGAGATGTCAAGTCATGGTTTCCACCCCCACCGCTTCTGCATTTTCCACCGTGGGACAGTGAAAACACAGGTGCTGGAAACAACATCAGAGGTGACAGAGAGGGCCCGCCCAGGCCTCCCGCGGAGTCCCCAGCAAGCCAGACGCGGTCCTGCTCTTCTGCTCCCAAGCCCACGGGCTGGCCTCCCCCCCGCCTCCCCTCCTCATCACCTGCGCCCTCATCCACTTCCAGGACAGGGTGGCCTCAACGAGGGAGCATGGCACCTCTTGCTCCATGCAGATGCAGACAGGCTGTGGGAACCCCTCCACCCCCAGAGGCTGAAGTGAGCACCAGGATGAACACCCATCTGTCATCGTGGATGTGGTCCCCCTCCTTCCACACACACACCGTCTGTGACTGACAGGCGAGGCCACACATCCTGAATCTAGGTGCTGCTGAGAAGGTGTGTGTGGATGTGGCGAAGGCCCAGCACCAGCTGACTTTACGTGAGGCTTCCCTGAGGAGGAAGACGTGCGGCCTGTGGTCAGCAGCCTTGGCCTGTGCCCTTCCTGATGGCGGGCCCTGCGGAATCCACCCTCACCTAGCTTCCTGCCGCTGGACCACGGCCACAGAGGCCCTGGCACGCACTTCCTGCTCCTCTCCAGCCCTGTCTGCACCTGGACATTCGGGGTCGGAGCAGGCCCAGCAAGCCTCTTCTCCCCTGCATGGAGTGTGCTGGCATCCCCCACCTGGCACGCGACACTCTCTCCGAAACCACCAGGTACACAGAAAACCCACAAATGTGGTGGAGCTCCATGAGAAGAGGGACTGTGGGGGCCCGGCACTGTGCCTGGCACGGGGAGTTCTCCATCAGCAGAATCAATGGCTGAAGGCGCTCTGCGTCAGGCCTACCAGCCCCGGGTCCCCTCACTGCCCAGCCCCCCAGGGGAAAACCGCAGGGTGGGGGGCACCGACGGCCTGACCTGACGCCTCCCTCATCAGGGTCTTGGGCTCGCTGGTACTGCCCACCCTTCTCGGCCCCTTTACGGGCTTCCCAGTCCTGCCTTGAGAAGTGCCAAAGAAAAATCTGGAAATGCCAAAAAATTACCTGTTTACATTAACACTTCCAAAATTTTGGTGCTTATGGGACAGATCTATTTTCAGGTAAATTTCTTTTGAAACGTGAAGCCATGTAGAATAACATCAAAATATTCATGTGTTAGGGAACCAGGTTACATATTAGCACTGAAATCAATCACTTCAAAACAAAAAGAAGCAAACATCTCTCTTATTGTAACAGACATCCAGCAATCAAAGTCAATAAGGAAAGACTACTAGCCTGTTAGAAAAATCACAATAACACAGACATAAGATATCCTATGGGAAAATAAGGTATTTTATGACTTTGGGATTTCTTAAGATGGGTGCAGAAACAAACTTAAGGGGAATTTACCCAATTAAGGATTTCTGTAACGGAGAATGACAGTCTGGCAGAGGTGGTAGCTTCTAAAGCCAACAGGGATGCATACCTACAACATGGACTAAACAAACAGCACAGCAGAATAAAAAAACAAAAACCACAGAATAGGCAATCCACAGAGAAACATGTGAAGCCCAAAAGCAAATAAGGAGCGTCAGATGCTCCACATCACAATCAATCAGACATGAAAATAAAGACACCAGCAAGATGTCACCGGATACCATCAGGATGGCAAATCTGAGAAGTCAGATGACCCCAGGCTGCTGTGGGCGAGGCTGGGGCTGGGGCTGCGACCTGGGAGCCTTGCGACCCCTGGGGCCGTGCCCAGCTCCGTGCTCCCCAGAGACACTCGGGAGGACAGCACGCCTCACCAACAGCGGAGGCCTGCAAACCCACAAAAACTATGCTGCAGTTTTCAGAGATTCTGATTCCTAAACATGTCCCTGGAAGGCAGGCTGGGATGACCCAGACTGATGCCAAGGTCAGGGGTGGAGGGACTGGACACCCACCAGGGTGGGCAGCTAGGTGCCCTGAGTCACACAGAGGAAAGGGGGAATCGCCTACCGTGGAGCCTTCCTCTGTTCTGAAAGGGCCACCGAGCCTTGCTGAGCTCAGGGGAAACCCACACAGCCCTCCAGTGTGTGATACACCCGCGCTCCGGGACTCACACAGTCTGAGGTGGCAGGTACTGAGGAAAACGGTCTGAAGTGTTCTCATTTACAAACAAACGGACAGTCTGCACTGGTGCACAGAACCAGCAGATGCTCTCAGTGACGCAGCACGTTAACGGTGTACCACAGGCCACGACCCTGGAGACCGACATGCACTCACCTGCCTGCCAGACATAGCAGCCCTTCTCTGCTGGGGAAGACGTGCTGGCACTTCCGGGTGTCAAGCTGCCTTCTAACAACTCCATCTTCTTGCTGAACTGCACCTCCAAAATGGGGACAGCCTCGGGCATCTTGGCGGATATCAGGCGATAAGCTATGTCTGGCTTCCCGATGAACCGTTGGCGGATG